CTCTGGTTTATTAGATGAAACGGACAAGCGTTACAAAACTGAATAAGACTGATAAGTATAAACTGATAGGAGCTATTTCTTCTAACAAATGAGTTATCTCCCCTAAGTATGGAAAGCGGAACGGGAACAATCAAACTTCGAATTGAATAAAAAGCTCAGTTCGAAATTGGCAGAAGTTTACTAAGTAGGACGTAAACTCCTCAAAATGGTCATGTAATGCTTAAAAATTAACATTCAACAGACTTTTTTTTATTTCGGTGAAATATCAAACTCTGATCTACGAATTCAGAAAACATTATTGAGTAAATATCTAGATTTGCAGCTAAGAAAGTTGATTCACCATTTTTCTCGCCCGGATCTATCTTACATATTTATAAGTCTACCATTCGTGCATTCGCCTTGAATATTACTGCCTGAGGTTGAATTTTTAAGTTTTAAGATTGTGCGTTTTTGTATTAATATGATAATAGGAGAATTCTTTTGTACTGGTAGGTTTTTCAGTCAATGTGGCATGAACTAAATTTTTCAGTAAATACAGAAATGTCACAGTTATTATCCGAAAGTTGCACGTCGGATCAGTTATTTTAATATCAAGTATGTGGTGCAGTTCAATTTACATTACATGAATCATTCATACAAAAAATATATATATATATATATATATATATATATATATATATATATATATTCACACTTAAGAATCATATTTAGAAAATATATTAAAGCAGGTATATATATATATATATATATATATATTCATCTGTATGGGAGAATTAAATATGTCTATATTAGAATAATCCCGAACGCATACTGAGAGCAACCCGTAATTCAGTAAATACACACAAATTGAAAGAGGAGTAAGACCAAGATATGTTTCCACTCCGAACTTATTCAAACTTTACAGTGAGGCAATTCTGAGAGAACTAAAAACCATAGCAGGATGTATTATGATAATTATTACAAAAGTAGGATATGCAGATGAGAGCGTTGATAACAAATTCAGAAAGGAAACTAAGAATTCCTCGAGAAGTAAGTAAAGGAAAACGAAAAGAAATGAGTAAACGTCAATTATAAGTAGAGATAATGTCTCATTGTCAACAAAAAGATCATCGCAAGATGTGTAGTACAAGTTGGAGATGTGAAAATAAAGCAAGTACAGGGAGTTGAATAACTGTGAAGTGATTTAGCAGAGGAAGGCAAATGTGACATTAAAATCCGAGTGCGTAATGGAATAGCGAAAGATATCTTCCAAAAGCTGCACAAAGCGTAAAGAAAAAGGAAAACCTTGTTAGAAGCAAAGAAAGGAGTGCTCAACTATTATATAACAGTCTTCTTATATGGCAGAGAATGCTGAACAAACTCCTCGCAGATAAAAAAGAAACATAAGGCAATAAAGATGTGGCTTCGTTTTTTACGTTTGTTGAGAATACTATGGGCTGAACATGTGAATAATGATGGAGTTTTAATGAAAATGGTAACAAATAAGATGCTTATGCATAGAAACAGGAAGAGAATTGAAACTTCTCGGATGCAACATAAGAAAAGAGGGCTTGAATAATGTGATATTCACATGACTAGCGTGACAAGTTTGTTTAAATGGATGGCAGAACAGGGAGTGGGGGGATGGTGAAAAGACAAACATGGCTGCAAAGGATAGAAAAGTGTGGAGAGCCGTGTTCGCCCATATCTTGAAGAGACGCAATACATAAAGATTTGGAAATAGAAAACAGATTTCTCAGTTTCAAAAAAGAAGTCTGGAATCAGAAGCGCCTCTCAATGTATTGGGATATATCGTATATTAATGCACTACAGAAACAGATAAGTAGTCTTTTAAGACCACAACGAAAACCAATCAACCTGACAAATACAGAGCCCCAATTGAGAAGCTCGTAGGCTTGGGACCAAATGACTGGTCCAAATTTCAGAACTACTCAAAGGATATGTACTCCAAGGAGATAGCACAGGATGACCTCACCCAAAGAAAGCCAATGAAAGAATTTAAATAATAAAGAAAAAATAAGTACAAAATCTACCGCTCAAATACAGACCACTCCTCCAAAAATACAAAATCTTTTACAAAGTGATCTCCTATCTGTCAACAGAACACTATTAAAGATAGACTTAAGAACTTATCTCCCAAAAAAACAAAACCAGCCAAACAAAAACCGGAAATTCACAGTGACCATATTCCTACCCAAGACCGATTTGACAAGCTGGAAAAAATATAAGTGGAAACGGCCAAAACCTTTCAAATTCAAAACCTCTGAAAATTAAATTACAGCCATATTCTAAGCTAAAGTCCTAAAATATTTAGTAGTCATATGTGAAATAATTCAATGAAACTGCCGTGGAATAAGGGAAAACATAAATGTACGACTTCTGCTAATAACAGACCTATCACCGGCAGTTTTTGCCTTCAGGGAACATTCCTTAATCAACAAAATAAATTTTCGCTACAAACTGTGTATCTGAAAAGATTACCTCAATGAAACCAGACTCTCAAAGAAACCCTCTTTACAAAAATACGTCAATGAAATCTGATTTACAAACTGATTTCTTACAAAGAATACATATTCTATTCATACGAACCTATCGTAAAAGTCTTGTCGACATAATCTATTGAGGTTGATATGCCGTAAAACAAAATAAACCAAACCAATCCGGAAAGAATACATCAATGAAACCAGACTCTCAACACAAACCCTCTTTACAAAAATATGTCAATGAAACCTGATTTACAAACTGATTTCTTACAAAGAATGCATATTCTATTCATACAAATCTATTGTAAAAATCTTGTCGGCATTAAATAACCAATTGAGGTTGATATGCCATAAAACAAACCAAACAAACCGTACTATGGAAATCAACACTTAATAAACTAATTTCTATTTCTTTCTGTGAAGGGGTGTAATGATGCCATATATGTCATGAAACAACCCCGGGAAATTGTATAGATCTCCAGCAGAATGTCGTGCATCTGTTATGTAGCCCTCCCAGCAGCATATGATAACATCAATAGAGACTTATTCCAATCAATCTATTTGAAATCGTCTTCTAAGCTCTGATTGCACTAAATGTCTAAATCTAATAGAGGAACCATATCGGTTCACAAATTAGTAAATGTCTGGAGAAGGCACACAAAACTGAATCATTTCAAACCTCATCAGAAGTACAACAAGGAAGAAATGAGATTCTCAGTCTATTTAATCTCTTTCTAAACTATGGTTTGTGCTTATGCAAGCACAAATTAGAAGCAATATGTAGTACTTTACGTATCCTATACAACATCCCAATCGAATCAGCTAACAGTTCTTGTCTAACCTCCCTATGATGCACTAGTCATTAGAGGAAATATGGTAATGATATGGGTATTCACAGTTGGAATAAGGTTCTGGAACAAAAACATAATCAATTTCTTCAAAGTAATTCAAGAATTGGAACAGAATATAAATCTTTCCAAAACAGGAAATAAGATCTGGAATTAGAATGAAAGCAGTGATGGCAACTACGCTGAATCATCATAAAAATTTTTAAAAAAATGCTAAACACTTCAAATAATTAGGTGTATGGATGAGTTATAACAAATTTAATGTAGGTAATTAGGAATTTCGACATAAAAATGTCGGCGCTATGGTTAGTTTTGTTCAACACCGTAAAATGCTACAAAATCCAAACATTAACCTGTAAACAACAGCTTTCTCAGACAATGACTAAAATTATTCCCAAGCGAATGAAGCCTGTATGTCTTAGTGAGAACAAGCTTTCTTCGAACCTCATGGAGAGACGCTTACAATTTCAAAGAACCGTACCAAATAACAAAAGCCACATTATTTTAGATATTTCAACAGCAGCTGCTAACATGGATAGCACATGTAACTCGAAGAGAAAACAATGACGTTGACGTTCCACACTACTTAGAATAAAAGGTTAGGAAGGAAACCCCCATCAATACTGGAACAAGCTATAACATTTAGTAAACTTGAGAAACCTAAAAATTAGTTTTAACGAGAAATTTTTATAATTTTCATCTGAGCGAAGTAAAATCAGTTCAGTTAATGAGTTTCTAATATTTGTAAGGAAACGGCTAATATTCTCATTACCATTAGACATGAGAACAGATATTACACTTTGATCCCAACCGTATGGCCAGGGCGTGAAAATGCGTAACTCGAGTAGCACTGGCTGTTCGGTAAATGAATATTGAATGTTTCTTTATAAGGAAACAGTTACTACTATCATGACCATTAGAGAGGAAGAGAATAAATACTATGTTTTGATCCCAATCCGACGACCAGAGAATGAAAAAAACGTAACTCGAGTAGCATTACTTGTTCGTTCAATGAATTCAATGAATGTTTATTTATAAGGAAACGACTATTATTACCATTACCATTAGATATGATGAGATCAGATACCATACTTGATATTATGTAAGAAACACAAATGAGAAATAAAATATAGTTTGTCCGCTCAAAGGCATAGTCTACAATTTGATTCCAGTCTGATGGCCAGGGAGTGAAAAAAGTATAAAGTTACGTCTGGCTGCTCGCTCAAATAATGCCAAATTTTTCGACATAAGGAAACGGCTGTTACTATTACTATATACTGGCTTTTTAGTAAGTGAATCCAAGATGAGTGACGCCCAGTCAGTAATATGTGATTTTGTTATTTCATTTGTTTTCTTGAATGGTTGTGGAATCTATGATGAGATTACTTAAGAAATAATAATTATTTCTTTTTTATAGTTTATCATCCCTTTACAGGTTATTTAAAACTAGAAAATACGTTTCGATTGTAATAATCTTTTATGAGATATTAATGGTTTGGTGATGCAAGACTTACTAATTAAGCCATAGCTGGGGAGAGGAGGTTGATTCATACCTTTTTCGTGAGTATTTGCGCGTAACTGAATATGAAGAACCCAACTGGAATTGGGAAACATCTCCTTGATTAACGATTCTTAGCCATTATCCATTACACTAATCGAACAACCAAATATACAGTACCTATTATTCCCAAGCGGTCACTCAAATAGATAGTGACCAAGCTCGGCGTTGCTTAACTTCAGTGATCGTACAGGAACCGGTGTTTCAACGTGATGTGGCCGTAAGCCAGATTTTTTAAGAATTCTAATTATAACTTATATATTAACTTAGACATAATTGAGCACAGATTTATTGATAATCTCATTTTTATATAGAAATAATTATATATATATATCTCATTTTATATAGAAATAATTATATATATATATATATATATATATATATATATATATATATATATATATATATATATATATATATATATATATATATATATATTACATTCATCTTCATGCTGTTTCTAGCAACAATCTATCTATATATAAAATTATGTGACTTCCGTTAGTCTGTCTGTCACACCCTCTAAAATAGCCATATGCTAACCGATCGAAACCAAATTTTTGGGAGAAATGTAAACAGGTAAGAAGCTACAGTTGGTTTTACTAATGTGCGTAACCTAGTACAATAACTTTTCATTAACTTTTTAGGAAAAAATAAAGTTTTATTATTTTACACAAAATATTCCCACTATTTTTAAAACAATTTAATAATTAATATGACTAATGATTATTTAATAAACATGCAATATTGCTTTTTGCATTTTTAGTTTATATATATTTATATATATATATATATATATATATATATATATATATATATATATACAAGAATCTAGTTTCCAGTTCGCGTTGCGTTTGAGATGGCCATAAAGAAATCACAAGACAAACGCTTCAAAAGTTAGATTTTGTGTCCAGAAAGAAATATTTACGCATGACCAGTTTTATGTTGTATGCTAAGAATTCTTGCTAATTTATTCTTCGCTGTCAGAAAGGAAAAAGGAAAAAATAAATTTTCTTTAAAATATTGTTCATCATAAAGTCCTATAAAATGAAATTAAAGAAATTATTATATCGCGAAATATAATTTTTTGTCAAAGTATTAGACAAATTAGCTTATTCAAATTTTATCGGTTGCTTTGCGAAATTGAATGAAATGTAGAGTGTGTAAATTTCAATAAAAATGTTAGTGATCATTTCAACAATATTAAATTCTGTGGGAATTTCAGCACGCGTGGGCGTATTGCAAAATAAAATCTAGTTATTTAAAATATTACACATTTCAACCATAATATAAAGTGTTAATTTATCTGTTCTTAATTAAAGGGAAACGGAAGTGATTCTAACGGTTAACACCCGGAAAATGGAATCAGTGGACTGAATTTAGATATCAGTTGCATTCACTTTTCTCTAATAACGTTGTGAAATCATGAATCATCTTTTTCGTAACTTCTCTCTACTATGGGGAATATAGCAGAGTAGAATGGATTTCCTAATCTTGATTGGCAATTCTGAACACAAAACCGTGTTACGGAAAACCACTTAAAATTCTGGTAATAAATAGTTTACAGATATTAAACGAAAAAGGAAGCTGTATAGAGCCATAGTTAACTATGTTCTGAAGGCACAAGAAAAATAAGAATAAGAATTAATTAAATAGTATATTTTTACATTTTTACTGTTAAGAAAGAATGCGAATATAATATTTATTTAGAAAATCGTTAAATTTTGAACCTCAGTTGCGGATTATTTTAGTAATTTTCGGCACAACCACAAGAAGGTTTTTATTTAAAATTCCTTTTCAACCATATACTTGACTCAACCACTAAGAAATTCTTGTAGCATACCTAATAATAGGCATGTCACCCTTCACATGAATACAGTAGCAAATACTCGTCTCCAGCTGTGCTAGTCAAACTCTCTGCCCGGAGGCAGGGAGGATCCCCAAACGAGGCTATGTCGAAGAGAAACAGCTACCCGACCCTGTTTTATATGGGGTCTACGGGGAATTTTTGGCTCGGATACCCTACATTAAATTCGGCCTTGCGTCATATCTGACCACGTGGGTAGAGATCCTGGGGATTCATTGTGGAATTCACTTGACTCACCTCTATGCGCTGCTGGCAAATCCTATATGTGTTGTTCGTGTCCTAAGTATTATCGTTCAATACCAACCTTCCTGTGATTATTCTATTCAGTAACCTTGCTTAGATTACAACAGAAATCTAGTGCAGATCTTTAAGCATTTAATTTTTGTCGGTAATATTATGTCTAAACAGCATCGACTGAGGTGGGTTTTTTTTATCCAAATTAAAATAGTTACAATTTAATCATGTTTAAACTTATAGTAACTATATCAGAAGTATTCAGATATGCTACAAATAAATGTGATTATAATTAAATAGGTGTTGAAAAATATAACTGTAAAGATTTCCTTTGGACTTTCCTACAGCAATGAAAGAAAATGGAAGAAATGTGAATTAAAGGAAATAGCATAAGAAACAACGGCACAACATTGCAGTCATCATGTTTCCAATTCCACGTAATAAGAGCGCTGTTAAAGTAAATCGAAACTATCCGACGAGAGACAATTTGCATTAAATAAGGCAAAAGGAGTAAGAGAAAAACAAAATCGAAACATTTTTGTCAACTTTACTTCAGCATGTCATTTCGTTTGGATACCTCATATTCTGATAGATAGATAGATAGATAGATAGATAGATAGATAGATAGATAGATAGATAGATAGATAGATAGATAAGGAACAACCTAAGATAGATAGATATATAGATAGATAGATAAGGAACAACCTAAGATAGATAGATAGATAGATAGATAGATAGATAGATAGATAGATAGATAGATAGATAGATAAGGAACAACCTAAGATAGATAGATAGATAGATAGATAGATAGATAGATAGATAGATAGATAGATAGATAGATAGATGAACAACCTAAGATAGATAGATAGATAGATAGATAGATAGATAGATAGATAGATGTCATGTCTTGTTTTAAGAAAATTGTGTAGCATCATAATGGTAGGTACCTGAAATATCTACATCCAACATCGGCTCTATTAGGACCCGCGCTCTTGACGTTCATACCGAGGTAAATTTGTTCACCTTAGCATACGGTCGTTGGAGATCGGTATATGCAGGTAAAACATTTTCTAATATAGTAAAGTTCCTATTAGCCCCCCCCCCCGACACACACACACTTTTTCTATTTTTAGTTTCCTTTTCTTTCCACACTCTCCTTACTTTACCTCTCTTTTGCTTTTTACTCTATACTGCTACCTCTCTTCGTTTTTCATTATCTTCAAGTTCATCAAGAATAGATAAACAAAAAGGTGAAAGAAGTCTATCGTAAAAAAAAAAGCCTTCTCGTCACCGAGCACAAAATTTAATCTTTGAACTTCACTCGGGGAGGAGAGGAAAGCGTAAAAGAAAAACACTAATTACAAAAGAAACCGAAGCCCCAAATGCCGTAAGAAATATTTCAAAGAGACATTGAAGAAGAAAACACAGGATCTAGTAACCAAATCTTAGATGACAGGCTATTGGAAACCGCAAAAAAAATGTCGTTTTTTTGTTCTTACTGTTTGTATTCTGGAAGAGTATTTGTGTTTGTTTGTTTGTTTTTTGTTTTGTTTTTTTTTTTTGTTTTTTTTGGTGGGGAGGATTGTGTCGTTTTTTTTTTGTTTGTTTGTTTTTTTGCTGTTGCTGTTGATGTTCTGTTTTTATTTCGTTTTGATTTTATTTGTGCTTTTGTTGTCGTTCTGTTTTTTTATTTTACTTTAGACTTTCACATTAAATCTGATAGAAGACCTCACAGAAAAAGGAGTAAACCGAATAAATAAGTAAGGGGAAGATGGGCTGAAAATATTAAAAAAAGGAATATATATTCTCAAACAGGAATAATAAGGATGTTATCTATGTTACTGGATATAATAGCATTTACATGTGGTTTTGTTGGCCTCACGCAAACACCCTCTTGTGATCATTACAATATAACTACACATGCATATAACTACAAAATCCCTCTGTTGCACAAACATGTATTCCCTATGTATACATTTATCAGAATATCAGAACAGCGTAAACACGCTCAAAAAGACATATACAAATGAATGGGTAAGTGTACATATTCACAAGCAGACATATTTGCGAACAGAAAATATAAAGAATATGAGAAAATGTTACGTATGAAGATAATAGTCGGCCATATTTATATATACACTCATCCATGCACAGTAGCCAATGCACAAAATACCTATCTTTCTTTCATTCTACACACTAATATTCATAAAGACATGTAGATAACTTACACGTGTATTCACACGCCCGTGACTATCTACATAAGCATATGTAAATACGTAAGAATTTATGCAGTTGAGTTTATATACTCGTATTAAAAATACGACAGCGGAGATAATTTTCCCAGTATACATCTATTCTTTCCGAACAAAGTCAATATTATATTTCTGAATAGAAAGGCGTGCAAATTATTAGTAATACTGTATATTACATATAAATACTGAGTAAATACACAGAGCAAAAGGAGACGCCAATAAATACTATTATGAATTTTAGATACAGATAAATTTTAAGTTATCTTCTGTTTATACGTTATTTTTTATAGATACAAAGTAAATGCTCTGTTTATAATAAACAGTATTAAAAACATTTACCGGCCTACATTCCGATAAATTTTCACAGAAAATATGTGTCCTCCGTCAGCAACCGTACCTGTATCTTACATGGAACCGTCATATAGCCTGACATGCTATACCAACTTAGCTACATAGGAACGTCTGGTTAGCAAGGTCGATTTTACTGTTTTTAAACTACAGTTCTCTATGATTTGCCCCGAACACTCAGGTTTCCTCGATGCGTATCCAAACGTAAACAAATGACGCCAGAAACTACAAAATGGACACTATCCGACAATTATTTTAAGTTATCTTTTGTTTATATAGGTAAATGTAATGATGAAAAACTTGTATAGCATTCCTTGAAGAATTAATATTATACTGCAGTGTTTTACAAAAGCTACATAATATAGTCTGTTCTTGAGAATGACAAATCATAGTTAAGAGTAATCGAACACATTCGTATGGGAAATTTTTGCACACACAGGAAATAAACATTTGCTAACTTCTACTAAAACAAAAGAAGGAACTTAATATCTCAATACAAACTTTGTGATCTTTAATAAAGACT